GCTCTGGGACTCCTGAGGGCGGCTCTTAGCAGTAAAGGCCGAGGCAAAGGTGGCATTCAGTAACTCCGCCTTCTCCATATCCTCGGTCGCCAGGGCCCCCACTTCATTCAGCCATGGGCCCACGTTTTCCCCGGTCTTCTTTTTTCCTCCAGTGTACTTGAAAAAGCCTTTCTTGCTGTCCTTGACCTCCCTTGCCAGGTTTAGTTCTAAGGACGCCTTAGCTTTCCTTATCGCATCCCTACATCCTCTGACAGCATTCCTGTATTCCTCCCAAGTGGTCAGCCCCTTCTTCCATGTTCTATATACTTCCTTCTTCAGCTTAAGTTTATTCATGAAGCGGAAGAAGAGAGGAATGTTGATGATCCTGTTCAGGAGGAAACAAAGACAGCTAACTCAAGACATTGTTTTAATCGGTGATTTCAGTTATGCCTGTGTCTGAAACTGTGGAGCAGAAATCTTTTGAATTCCAAACATGGAGGCTATAGCCAATACCTTTATCTGAATCAAGAAACTAAATGCGAGGTTTTTGTGACTTCCCTGGGACAGGTTAAATGCCACAGGAAGCAGAAGGGCATTTGGTCCCGTGATGGATCACACCGGTCATACAGCTCGAGGTTAGAGACCTGGCAGTATATTTTTTCACTGCCGCCAAAGCTGTTGAGGGACCACAAAGAGAACTAGAGGCTTGATTATTGCTCTTGATTATGTTAACTTCAACAAGAACAAGGCAGGGCTGTGCTTGCAAAACCTTTGGCAGTGCATTTCAGTACTCCATAATCATGAAATTAAACTCTTGTCTGAGCAGCCATAGCTGAGGGAGAATGCACCAGTCTGCTCAGCTGTACTGGCTGGGCAAAAACATTTCCATGGCAAAAGCTTCTCCTGGGATGAGTAATTCCCAGGATGGCTTGAGCCACGGGTAACAAATGATTCTGTCCTTGGGTTCAGGGCTAACCAGTTGAACAACATACGTGAGCTTTTTCCCCTGCTGGAGCTATTAAAACGGACAGCTTCCTCCTAAAGTGTGTCAAGATGTTCAGAAATTTTACTGCTGAGTATCCAGCCTCCTGTAACAAACAAGACGAGGTGCCATTAAAAGCCACCAGCATGTAAACCGAGTGGCAGGATGTTGCATCATGTGTTTGTCTGCAGATATGCAAGTGCCATGAGGAAGCTCCTTTGGGATCTGGCTGTAGCAGGTGATAGTGGCCAATGACTGGATCCCTTTTTAAGGGGCAAAGCCATCTCTGCTGTGCTGGGCCACCTGTGTTGCAACGAGATGTTTTGCTTAAATGGCTTTGCAGCTTATTCCCTGTGATGCATTAAATATAAATGTAATAGTCTGGTGTAGATATTATTTTTTTTCTGGCATCTTCAAGACGTGAAAGAGGAGGGATGTGTTCTTCATGTTGTGTAAGCATGTCAAATCTGTCAGAGGTCACTTGGATGGAAGTGTGTTGTCTAAACACCAGAAGGGATGGGTATGGGGCCTTGGATTCAGGCTGTGTTGATCTACGAACCGAAGACATTAATCTTTCTTCATCCGATATTCTTACTGATTCAGATACTGGATTAATATCTTTGAATTCAGTAGAAAAATAAAATGAGTTCTTCCTTGTTTAGCCTCCATTCCTGTGTTACATTCTTCAAACAAAAGTTGCATGCGTTTTAGTAAAATAATTTAAATAATAGACTTAATACAAATTGGTACAAATTGTGGTTGGAAATAGTTGTTTCTGTTCAGTTCACAAACGTGTGTGTATGTATCCATAAGCATATTGTCAGAAATTACATGAACCCAAGTCGGCATAAACCCAACTGAGTTTTCTTGGAGGTTTTTATGTAGGCCTTGGTAAGCCAGGCGGAACGCATAGGCTATTCAGTCTCCTTATTCAGCTTGTTGTACGTGTGAATCTCTAATAGTGATTGTTGTACAGGATTGTGTGTTTTGATGCATCCTAATCTGTTAGAAAACAGATGTGCTGAACTGGCTGCTTGGAAAGCATGTAGAGAGACCAGTTTACAGTGAGCTCACAATGTTAGGAACTTTACAGCTCAATAAAATCATGGTTTTGTTAATTAATATACAGAATCACAGAATGGTTTGGGTTGGAAGGGACCTTAAAGATCATCTAGTTCCAACCCCCTGCCATGGGCAGGGACACCTTGCACTAGACCAGGTTGCTCAAAGCCACATCCAGCCTGGCCTTGGACACTTCCAGGGATGGGGCATCCACAGCTTCTCTGGGCAACCTGTTCCAGGGCCTCACCACCCTCTCTGGGAAGAACTTCTTCCTGATATCCTATCTAAACCTCCCCACTTCCAATTTAAACCCGTTACCCCTTGCCCTGTCACTACAGGCCCTTGTAAAAAGTCCCCCCCAGCTTCCTTGTAGCCCCTTCAGGCACTGCAAAGTGCTATAAGGTCTCCCTGGAGCCTTCTCTTCTCCAGGCTGAACACCCCCAACTCTCCCAGACTGTCCCCATAGGAGTGTCTTTGTGGCCTCCTCTGGGCACCAACCATGCATTCAGTGAGATTTAATTAATAATATCCTTTCTCTTCAGACCCTATTGTTTATCCTTTTTTAAAAACTGAGAGTTTTGTATAAGTGCAATGGACTGTTTGTTTATGGACTGTTTATTCAGGTTCCCGCGATGGTTCGATGGGTCTCTGGGAAGTCACTGAGGATGTGCTGTCCAAAAGCGATGCCAGGCATAATCTGTCCCAAGTTCCTGTCTATGCCCACATTACGCACAGGGCTCTGAAGGATATCCCCAAGGAGAACACCAATCCTGACAACTGCAAAGTGCGAGCACTGGCTTTCAACAATAAGAACAAGGTCAGTAAGATAAGGAATATGGTTGAAAAGTCTTAAAACTGTCCATATGTATTAGAAAAAGTAGTAAATAATAAACAAAAAATAATCAAAATAAAAAGTACTGGAGAAGCAAGCTAATATTTTTTCCCCTGATCCTTTTGCATCCTTCTCATGAAGTGGTTGTTTTTATCCACTATGTCTGCTTCTGCCCCAAGGGAATGGAGACGTCTGGTAGGAAAAAGAAAATCATACATGTTTTCAGAAGGAGTAACTTTCCTGTGGGTTTGATTTTAGACATGCCGCCTTGAGGTGGGGGAGACGGGGGGTGTTTACAAGAAGCTGATAAAGCACCAAAACATCTCTTGCAGCTTGAATCCTACTCTTGAGTGCTCTTGCTGCTTTCCTTCCCCATTGGTGAAGACCAGCGAACGTTGAGGCCATTCCTGCCTTGGTGGCTTTGATGGTTATGGGGTTGCTCAGCCAGGAAGGGGCCTGCAGTGCCTGCTTCGGCGTTACTTGGTTGGTGTTTGACCAACAGTGCAGGTGAACCTCCCCCACGCTGATGCAGTGCTCTAACTCGGGATGAACTGTACTGGGGCAGGTGGGAGTAGCAATTCGTCCTGCATTACGTTTCTGTCTGCGCTCAAAGAACGGAGAAGGTCTGAAGCAAAGGCGGGTGTGCTGTCAGCACAGTGCTCCTGAGGGCTCCATTTTTCACTGTAGCTGTTAATTACTCCTCTGTGATGGAGAGACTTCATGTAGCCTTTTCAGTAGCGTAGTGCTGGAAAGGGTTGTCAGCTTTAGCTTGTACTGTCCAGTAATTAACTAATTGATTGCCTAACAAGATCTATAATTTTGAAAGTTATTTTTTGTTATTTACTGTTTTGCTAATTCTTGCTCTACCTGGCACCTTTGTCCTGTATTGTGTTCTGTCAAGATCAGTATAAAATGAGAACATATCTTGATAAGTGTGCACAGGATTATAGGTGAGTTCAATCCAGAGTACGCAGCCTGCCTAGTGGAGTGTCAGAGTTTGTAGGGACATCCATAACGCAGAAACTCACTCTCTTACTGCCTTTTTTTACAGGAGCTGGGAGCGGTGTCCCTAGATGGGTATTTTCATCTTTGGAAAGCAGAGCACACACTGTCAAAGGTGCTATTACGTTTGTTGGAGTTAAATTTCAAAAACTGTCTTGCAGTTTCTTCATCTCCTTTAAATGCGTGAAGAAAGAGCAGCAGTGTCCGTAAAACACTTACAAGCTTTATGTAAAGTGAGAAAGCCTAAGAATTAGAACTTGAGGAGGCAAACTTCCCCCTCCCCATATTTGGGAGGATGGGCTTTCTGCCAGTTCTGGGTGAGCTGGAGCAAACTGTTCCATAGAGTATGATGGATACTTAATTAGCAGTGTTCATAAAGGAAGTTGGACTTACTTAAGCGTAATTGCAGATCAAACCCAGGCATGTATGAGGTAAGCTTTTCAGCCGAGAGCTGACAGCTGTGTACACCTGCTGAAGGAACAACAGCAGCTTAGAAAGATTCAGAGCAATTTGCCAAAATGTTTGCTGTTCTTCACATCGTGTTTGGCTTCAGCCTTTAAAAATCTCAGTTTTAAGGCATCCCATCTTCTCCTTAGGGCTTTTTTCTCTGTGTCAGGTTGTTGCTTTTATCTTAAAATCCAGTTCTTGTGGTGAAGTTATTTTTTTAGCTGCATTTTGGTTTTTTTCACTGATAACATCCCTCCCTTTTCTCATAACCGGTTGATTTTTATTCTTTCTGTTTCCAGTTACTTTCCACAAAGTTGCCATACTGCAGGGAGAACGTGTGTTTGGCTTACGGTCAGGAGTGGTCGGTGTATGCAGTAGGATCTCAGGCACACGTCTCCTTTCTGGATCCCAGGCAGCCTTCCCACAACGTTAAATCCGTCTGTTCCAAGGAACGAGGCAGTGGTAAGAAATTTGTCAATGGGTGCTTCAAATACTTTGCTTGCAGAAGTAGCTGTTAAGACTGCAGTAAGACAAGCTTTTAATAAACAGGAAGAGTTTCTTACGCGATAGTATAGGTAGGTTTTGCTTTGATGACTGTATTCCTGGAGCAACCATCAAACCAGATGTAAAAGCAGCTCTGAAATCTAATGATAGGTAACAATGCTTTTGTGATCAACGATGCTGTGCACCATCCAAACATTACCGAACTTGCAAAAAGTGTGCATTTTGCTTATACTTATTTTTAACTGTGTCTTACTCTGTTTTACTTCATCTCAAAGCAAATCCAATCTTCATACTGCTATTAATAGTGTCTATTTTTGCGTTGTTCTCTTGTTACAGGGAAAAAAGCACGTTGTCTGTCTCTGTGCTGTCATGTGGCAGTCTGTGCTGTGAGTGAATGCTTGCTTTGTAATTCTGTTCGTGAATGAGAGTTAATTGTCAGTGTGTGTTTGCTTTAACTATACAAAAGCTCACTCTTAAAAAAAGTAATAGTAATTGCGGATTTGAGTGCTGTTTTAATTCTCCGGTGTGGATGCAGTATGTCGAATTGAACCTTCCGCCGGAGCCAAGCGTGAGGGCTTGCAGGGTGCGTGGTCCCATAAGCTGCTCCCTATACCCTTTATTTTCAGACATGAGAAAACACTGTGCTGTGATGCCCATTTCAAACCATATTAATCCCAGACTAAGAGGTTGCAGTCTTTATTTAGTGTGGCTCTAAGCATCATCTCTTCATTGGGCAAGTTATCAGAAGAGAATGTATGTAGGCAAGGATTAGGAAAGTTCTATTTATGTGGTTACTGGAGCTTGAATGGTGTCATCTAGATAAATGTCAGGGTCTGCTTCTTTCAGACGCAGGATGATCTATATTAATATTTATTCTGTAATATGAAAAAAGGTGCTTCACCAGCTCATGCTGGTACCTGGACATCTTACCAGCAACAGCCCTTGTCCTGACCCACTGTCAGTGGGGGCTCTGTGCACATCTGTGGCACTGTCACCCTTCAGTGTCATGGGGAAGAAACACCAAAACACTGGAGTGTGGCACCCAGTGGTGGCTGGAACCTTCTGCCTTGAGCGTGTGATCACCCCTGGAGGGAGGATGGTCAGTGTGTAGGTGGTATCCCTGGGGCACCTCCCGTCTGTGCCAGGAGAAAACCTTTGTTCCAAGGTGTTTTCTGTTACGCATAGTAGGCGGGGTTTTTGTTTTTGACGTGGTAGAGGCACTTCAGTATTATTAATTCCCAACATCCAGCTTTCTGTTGATCTCACTGGAGCAGTGCAGCACCTCTAGAAAGTGGGCTCGTTATTGATTAGTGGACTGAAGTTTGGTTTGACTTTTAAGAGCTTTGAAGTGTTACCTGAATGTGCTTTCAGCTTCCAAATGCACGAGCTGAACGCAGTTAGTCCACTTGAACTGTGGATTATTAGTGGTGAAAAGCAGGTCAGAGAAAGCATGTTGCTTAGTAAGGCTGGAACTGGGGCAGGTTTCTACCCAGTGTAACCTGTCTGCTTTACATGAGAAGGTAGCTAATGCTTCCTAGTGCATCTTCTTCGTGTCGCTTTTCTTAGCAGCGGTACAGGGAAGTGCAGGCCATGGACTTCACTGCTTGATCCGCAGGACCAACTGCTTTCTGCTTGGTTGGCACGCACTGCCATGTCGCGTGACTATGACTTTGACTTGACTTAACGTCCTGAAGGTGAAAGTGTTAACGTAGTGCACAGACTCTGTCTCCACTCCTTGTGTAGAACACGCTGCTGCATCTTCATTTCATTCCGGGACTTTCAGAGCCTCCCCCTCTCTTGGGGGTGAGCCTCGACTTGCTGACCAATGTCATGGTTTAACCTCGGCTAGCAATGAAATACCACGCAGCGGGTTGCTCACCTTCCACCCGCCCCACTCCGCTGGAGGAGGAGAGTCTGAGGAAGAGTCATGGAGGCTCGTGGGCCGAGATAAGAACAATTTAATAATTGAATATTATAGTGATGCTAATACTATCACCAATACTACTAATAATCAGTAATTAAAATAATAGGAAAAAACATAAAATACAATTGGTCACTACCTGCCAACTGATGCAGGTTGGGGGTTGGAACTAGATGATCTATAAGGTCCCTTCCAACCCTAACCATTCTATGATTCAATGATGCACAACCAGGTCCCTAGTAGTGAGAGTCAGAGCCCGAGAGCGATGGCAGCAGAGTCCGAGTGAGCCCCACAAGAGCCTGCATGACCGGGAAAACCAGCCGGCCCACCAGCTCACGGACAAGCAAGCTAAGAAACGAGTG